GGCAGTCCACTCACCTCAGCCTCCCAAAGTGCTGGGATTACAGGCTGAGTCACCGAGCCCGGCTTTGAGAGGTCTTAATGACAGTTTTTGCAAATGGGAAACAAATTTACCATACTGTAGAAAATTCAGAAACTATAGAGTGAAATAATCCTTCTTTTTGCCTTAACTGGCTGTGCTGGTGTGTTGACTTCCAGCCTTCCAGCGTCTGCATAATTTTCACAGCATTTTAATTGTGACACACATTTCATTTTCGTCTCCTGCGCGTCCTTAACCCCCTCACCACCCCCTCCCCCGAGCGTTATTGCCTAAGCATTTTTCCGTGTGGGAGGGTGCATGCATTGAGGGAAGGGGCAGGGGCACAGGATGACCTCAGGGGGTCCTGGCTGTCTCTGGAGATGCTCACCTGCCCTCTCTCTGTTTCTCTCACAGGTGGCTGCCCCCTGCATTGCTCCATCCAATCATGAGCTGGTGGTGAGTGACAGCCCCTCCTTACCCGCCAGCCCTCCCCTCTGTCCCAGCTCCCCAGCTGCCGCTTTCTTTAGACCCAAGTATGTTGGGAGCCCAGTGTCGGGTATTGGGTAATTAGGTGGGAGGAGGAGGGTCGCGCTCCCTAGGCCCAAGCTGGACTGGGAGGAAGTGAGTCATGAGGTCCCTTCTGATGAGACGCAGGGCCTGCTGTTTCCAACCTTGAGACTCGAGTCCTTGGAAAAACCCATAAAAGGGCATCTCGTGTGTCTCCAGGCCTGGCCAGGTGCCTATTGTCCCAGTGCTTAGAGGACCAGGGGCTGCTGTGGCACCTCCTTCCGCCTGCCTGGTCCCAGGTCAGTCAGGGATGGATGGCATGACTCTCCGAATCCGTCCACCTGGGCGCCCAGGTGCCCTCTGCTCTGCTTCTAAGTGCCTTGGCTTCACTGTGCTTTTCTGCTCTCTCTCCATTTCCCCCCCTCCTCTTATCTGCCTCCCAATCCTTGTGGAACAGCCTGGACCTGGGTGGGACCCCTGTGAATCCTGGGTTATGGAGAGGACCTTGCCCCAGACTGACCCCAGTTGGGCTGATGGGGGATGCTGAGTGCTGTTCCTTCCTGCCTCTCACCATCTTCTTCCCCGCTCTCCTGCTATGCTGCTGGGGTCAGGCAGGACTCTGGGGCTGCAGGGGAGAGGTCTGTACTTGTGCACATGAGTGTATGGCCATGGGCATGAGGGTGTGTCATGGAGGGAGCACCGGGTGAGCACAATCAGATGAGCTGGTGTGGAGGTGCTTGTGGTGGTACTGATGTTGGTGGGAGTCTGAGGGGAGAGGGCAAGGCTGTCCTGGGGCCCAGGCAGCTGTGGGCATCCCATCCACCTATGCGGTGACTTGCTCAGCCCAGGCACTGGACACTCTCAGGCCGCCTGGTCTCCTTTTTTTCACTCCAACACCCACTCCCCAAGTCTTTACTCAAGTGTCAGCTCTTCTCTTCCCCCCGAACCCAACTTCCCTTCCCTGCTTTCGTGGCCATCAGCACACATCGCTCTCTAGTAGGCTCTGCATTTCACATATGTGTCCTGTTTCAGGGGCTTTGCTCATGCCAGCATGCACACATGCCAGCATCCTCTTTCTTTCTGGACGTCACTTTCCCTTTCTGTCAAAGAGAGGTGTTGGACCAGGCACTCTGAAAGCCCTGTCGGTGCTGCTAAGTATTCCCTGTCCTTCCCTTCTTGCTCAGGATGGTGGTGGAATGAAATAAAGGACGCAGAAGTGCTTAGGGCCATCAGCGGCGCTGCTCTCTGTGCTGTGGCCTGGCTGTTTACCTTCTTGGCAGTAGCCCCTCCTCCCCTGATCTCACCGGGGTCAGTCTCTCTGGGTCTCAGGGCTGCCCAGCTGGGCTGCTCAGCTGGGCTGCTCCAGATGTGGAGTGTTATTCGCACAGAGCCCAGTGGAGAGGGTTATCTGACACTGGCGGGG